GCAGATCCACTCACCTCAGCCTCCCAAAGGCGCGGGATGACAGGCTAAGCCACCGAGCCCGGCTCAGATCCATTTTTAATGTGACAGAAATCTGTCAAGATACCAAAACGATAAAAACTTCATGAAATGTGGCAAAGCTTCCCCCAAAAAAGCACTGGAAGACAAAGTCCTACCCTTAAAAAAGTCCCTGTGAAGGCCACCCAGGCGCCCTGCAGAATGCAAGGGTGATGACCATTCCTCAAGGTAGGTAGGGAGAAGAGAGAGCCTCTGCATGGGCACAAGCGTTGACAGTGTCATCCCCAAAGAAATCTTTCTCTTTTTTAGACTGGAAAATATAGTTTATTTAGAAAGTAAGCTGGGGGGGGAGGAGAGATTTACTGCCCCAAAGCAGGAGCAGGGGCCAGAAATCTCCTAAGAGAGGCCTCCCAGACAGAGCCAATAGACCCTGGTGACGCCCCACAGGCGTGCTCTCTGGGGCTAAAGGTAACAGTCTAACACTTCAGAAGACTCGCAGTCAAGCTCTTCTGTGAAAGAACAAGCTGGAGAGCCTCGTCATCAGGACCTAGGAATGGACCGACATTCCAGGTGTTGACAGCATCCGCCCTTGGAGGGGGCTGAGGCTGAGAAATAGCCGACAGCTCCCACAGGCAGAAAAGCTATCTGGGAGTGTTTAGAACAAACACCTGCCCGGCAGCCCTCAGCCACACATCTGTGTGTTCATGGGGCCCGGGCAAAGCTGCTTTAATTTTATGCCCGAGTGCCCTTACTCGGGGGAAGCACACCCACTCCATGGAGAACCTTCACAAACCTCGAAGCCCTTGTTCATGCTGAGGAGGTCTGTCTTTAGGACGCCAAACACGAGGGCTCAGAGCATCACATTTACTGCATCTCTAAGCAAGGCGGAAATAAAGTGGAAACTAGGAACAACTGCTACATGATTATCCTGCCCCCGAAAATGGCTCCTGGCCTGCTCCAGACCACACGAAAGCCTGGCTCCTCCTCCTGACTTCTGCAGGACCCAGAGGCCGGGAGAGGGATGCCAGGCCGGGAGAGGGATGACAGGCCTGGGAGGCGAAACGGTTTCTCTGTGAACAAGGAGAACACACGGAAACGGCTGCTCAAGGAGGAACAGCACGTGAGGCTTCCTTTCCAGAAGCACCTGCCTCAGCTGATGGACGCATTTCCCGGCAAAGCCTCCAGGGCCCCACTCCCCATGGTCTCTCCTGGCCAGCAGCTCTTCTCGGACTGGGATCTGCGGCCGCCTTGCCTCTTCTGAAGGCGCAATGACAGGCTCATCCAGTTCATGCCGCTGAAACTGCTCCGACAAAAACCAAGACTGGCTGGACCTGCTGAGCCTCCGCAGGCCCGCCTCGTGTTGGGTCAGGACCCGGGAGGTTCCCCGAAACACGCAGTCCTCGTTCCCAAGCAAACTCCACATTCGTCAGCTGTCAAAGGAACAATGGCTTTGCAAGGCCTGCCTATCACGTTTCTGGATTTGCTAAGCAGGGCCACTGACAGGAAGAAAGAAAGCGTTCAAGCCTGCACTCCCGGCCTTTGAACTGTAAGGCCATCACAGCGAGTTTTGTTAAGCTTTCGTCTGTGTGACAACAGCAAGTGCCAGCGGGTCTAGGGTTTCACCATCACATAAAGCATCTTTCATCTTCCAGGGTTCTATTAACTGGAATTCACCTGGATGACACTGCCCTCCCCAACCAGGGCAAGGCGAGGACCACCCCGAATGGACAGAGAAAGGCGCTTCCAGAGGCAACACAATGAAGTGCCATCTTCCTTTCTGTTTAGACCTCCAGCACTGGGCAGAAACACAGCTTGCCTAAACATTTTCAAGAAGGCCCCACGCCAAAAGTGCCCCACGGCTCACTCTGAATGGAGAAGCCTCTCAGTCCTCCGAGACCTCAAGCCTCTCTACTTTACTACAGCCACTGCAGACGTGCAGGCTTTTCGGTCTTCGTTAAGCTTCAAAGCTTCCTTCCAAACATGCTGACAGAGTCCTGAGAGGTCCTGGGAGGTCAGTTTGGCTTTGAGCCTCCTCTAAATGATTAAGTGGGAAAGAGGTCAGCCTTGCTGTCAGCGGACAGCTGGGGAGCAGCAACTGTGCGGGCAATCCTGGCGAAGAACAGAGCAGCCAGCCGTGACCCTCTCCACCTGGGTGTTTTCTGAAACGATATCCCCTATCTCCCCGTGTAAACTCACGGGTCACTGGACACGCCAGCCTAAGAGATAATTAGGTGCGCAAACAAAACTGAGACGCAGTGGTTTGCCCGGGAAGCCAGGTGCCCAGTATCTGTCTCAACAGAATCACGAGCAACTGATGGTGCCCAGCAAGGGCGTCCACAGCAGTGCCGCTGGCACGGCAAGAGGGCGAGACCGATGAAGTCACGATGGCACAGGCGGAACAAGTCGCCAGTGGTCCGCGACCAGGACGGCCAGGAGAGGATCTGCATGCACACGGGCCGTCTGAGCACCAACAGCAGGCCACTGCTGACACAGGCCACACCCAGAGGGACGCTCAGGAGAGTCACAGGGCTTGTCGCTGGGCAAAGGGAGCGGGAGGGAGGCTGGGAGAGAAACTTACTTTAACTATACTTTTTTGGGACCCTCTGGGTTTTTAAAAACCACTCACTGCTTCAACCAACAAGTAATTCCCGAGAACCTGCTCTATGCCAGCACTGCTCTAGGTCCCAGGCAGAAAGTCAAGGACGAGACAGATGGGGCCTCCACTCTCACAGAGCTTATATTCTGGGGGAGAAGCGGGCAGGCAAAGAAACACCCCCAGGGATGTCACAGATGTGAAAACAGGGTGTAAGCAGGAGGGACCGGGTGGCCACCAGAGCAGTCAGCCACGGAGGGCAGGGGGTAACAGTTGACCTGGGCTCATTCCTTGGTGGGATAAAGAAAATAAACATAAGTAAATGAATCCTGTGACAAGAACAAACCTCAGCACTGTAACGGAAGGGGAAGCATAAAACCAATGTCTCAAATAAGTCTTAAGTCCAAGCAATAAATAAACACCAAGCAACCAGAAAAGTCCACCTGTAACTCTAGAGGTAAGAACATGGAGACGACTCTTTCCAAGAAGAATGAAAACTGGCTGAAGGGTCCCTTGACATTTTACAAAGAAATTAGACTAAATATAACTTGGCCTTTACATAAACTCCTAAAACACAATGGGTTAACCTTACTCTGGAAGAGGAATAAGTCACTAAGAACCACGGCTCAAGTTCAAGAATCGCCTTGCGTGGGCCGGGTGCGGTGGTTCAGGACTGTAACTCCACCACTTTGGAAGGCCGAGGCAAGTGGATTGCCTGAGCCCACGGGTTCGAGACCAGCCTGGGCAACAATGGTGAGACCTTGTCTCTACAATAAATCAAAAAACTAGCTGGGCGTGGTAGCACATGCCTATAGTTCTGGCTACTTGGAAGGCTGAGGCGGAAGGATTGCCGAAGCCCAGTAGGTCGATGCTGGGGTGGCCAGGAGCGTGCCACTGCACTCCAGCCTGGGCGACTGGGTGACGGAGTGAGACTCCAACTCAAAAAAAAAATCATCATCATCATCTCGCTGGTCAACAGATCGTCTGGGATGGACAATTATCTACATCCATCACTTGGCTTCTGCTGAGACTAAGCACCCACCTCAGCAAGCACTAATGACTGAGTACTATGACCCTGGGCCACTGTAAATTGCTTCTGCCAGCATCACATGATGAGATTAAGCAAGGAGCAGGAAAGGGCTGGCCCAGCCTCATTCAAGATCTTTGAGGCCGGTGACCTTTCCAGAACAGAAGCAACTTGCGACAGAACCATCCCCGGGGCCACCCTGCAGGTCTTCCTGCCAAATCCCATCTGCCATGCCCTGCAGCCGCAGACCTGAGGCAGGGAAGGGGTTCCCTCGAGGGCCTGCTGCACGTACCTGGTCGGAGCAGGCACCAAGAGTCACAGGCTGGTTGGCGAGGGACAGCAGAGACTCCACCACCTCCAGCTCCTGCTGGTAGAAGGTCTTCACTCTGTGCTCCACGAGGAACTCACTGGCTTTCTCACTCAGCAAGCATGTGAGGCCGGGGAGGTCCAGGGTGCCTGGATTGCTGCGGGGAAGGTCATAAAGATCCCTGCAGGATGCAGTCACCTTGGTGCCTTTTCAGCGTGCAGAAAACAAATCTGGCTGGAAACACAACCCCACATGGTGCTTGTCGCGACAGAAAGGGCTTTCATATCGTGAACACTGTGCGCGCGCGCGCACACGCGCGCGCGCGTGTGTGTGTGTGTGTGTGTGTGTGTGAGAGAGAGAGAGAGACAGAGAGAGAGAGAGATAGAGAGAGAGAGAGAAAAGTAGTGAGGCAGGCCTACAGCAGCCAACAGAGGCCCGCAGCAGACTGAGAAGAGTCAGGCTGCAGAAGACATGGAAGGCGCAGGCCCATTTTTGTAAAAGGGAAAACGACAACCCACACAACAGACACGTGGATTCATGCTGCATCAGTCGCAAAGAAACAGGCCTCGAAGGGCACGTGGCAGCCCAGGTGGCCCCGGGCAACGGCCTTTGGGCAGGAAATAGAGAAGGAGCACTTTACTTACTCTACACAGGTCTGTCGTTTGCACTTTCTGGAGGTAATTGCTTGAACGCGCAATACGCTCGCTTGTTACAAAACACCGGAGGGCGCTCGGTGAGAAGCCCCCCTCCACCCTCCTCCTGCGGCCCTGGGCCCCGTCCCGGGCAAGGCTGGCACTGGCTGCGCATCTCCCCCGGAGCGCTCTGCGCACACCAGCAGATGCACGTCTTGCCCCTTCCTCCAGCCGCCTCTTCCGCCCACGCAAAGGAGTACAGCGCCCTGGCTGAAGGCGGCTGGGCAGGCTGTCACGGGCATCTGGCATGGGTGCCCTGGGACCGGACGCTCTGCAGATGCCGGGCCTCCGCAAGGCCTTCTTCAGCTTCATGCCATGGGGCTTGCTGAGCTTCCTGGACCTTTGAGTCTTCAGCTCCTATCAAACTTGGGAAAGCATCAGCCACCCTTTTCTTCAGTGTCTTCCTGCCCCTGCCTCACTCCTACAGGGACCCCAGTCACACTGCGTCTTCCCCCCAGCCACCCAGAACATCTGTGCTCCTACCATCTTCCCTCCACGGATGGGCACACGGAAGGAAGCAGGCAGAGGGCAGCACCCCAGCCCGAGCCGCGGTGGGAGGTGGACGGCTCGGGATCCGCACAGACCGACCCCCGTCTGAGCTCCTGCCGCCTGCTTCCCTGCCGGGGGCATATCTCAGCAGTGACAGGGCGCAGCTCACCTGGGCGCCTCTTCCTCCTGCAGGGCTGGGCTGCAGAAAGGCTGGTCGTACACTTTCCTGTAGAGTGTAGGCAGCTCAAGCATCCTTGCAGTTTGCACACTCCACACGGGATCATCCACTTTATCTGATGCCACCGGGAAAGACATGTAGAGAAATCATCCCATGACCAGTGCCATCCGGTGTCCAAGATGCCACCAGGACACAACAGAGGCTGAGGCGCCGGGGGGCCCCTCCCTCATGGGTGCCCAGGGATCGTGGACTCGACGCACTGAAGGGTCCCTGGTCACGCTGTGTGAGGGCATGCAAGGCCCTAAGTGCCAGGGCCTGGAGGGGCAGAGGCTGGGCCAGGAAAGCTCATCTGAGCGCTCACTCGTGTGTCCTTGTGGATGGCAGGGCTGGAGCTGACCCCCAGCTGAGAAACAGCCAGCACCTGGCACAGGGAAGGTGTGAGACCCGCCTGCGTCCATGAGCGTGTCATCTAGAGCTCACGGGCTCAGTGTGTGCCAGAATTCCCATCACTGTGGAGAACACGAACCCTCTGCCCGAGTAGACTGGGACTCAGACTCAGACCTTCAAGGACTTTGGAGCCATGTTGTCCAAGTAAACTTGCCAACTATGCATGGTAAATAATTCATCCTCTTTCCCAATTTATAATTCGCTCTCATCAAAATAAAATTAAGAAATGCCGCTTTTCTATAAAAAGTATGCTGTGCAATATAATTTCCCACATTAGATCATTTTAAGTCTCATTTGAACTTGCTGGAAGCTTGACTTTCAACTGAACAAGAGCTCAGTGGACACGCCCCCAGGATAACAACCAATCCGATGGAACATCTGGTGCTTACAGTAAGCAGTGGCATGGATTTCTCGCTCTTCTCTGTATGTGCGGACATAGCCTCTGATGCGGATGAGGTCCCCGATCTCCACCTTCATTCTCTGGGCGGTGGTCTCTCGCAGCTTCCTGAGTTGTGAGCTTAAACTCGGCTCTCGGGCAGTGCTGGGGGTAGCTGCCAGGGCCAGGAGGAGAGACAGTTACAGCACACTCAGCTAGCTATGTCCATGGGAAGGCTTCAGGGTGAGACCCACTGACGGCAGAGCGAGGGGCCCGGCGACAGCGGGGGCCCGCTGGGCACGCTCCCACAAGGCTCTGTGGGCTACTGAGCTGAACCCTGCGCCACGAGTTCAGCCACTGTGGTGCCAACGGCTGCAAGCAACCCTGCCGAGGTCTGCGGGAGGCCTGTCCCCCCGCCCCGGGTGCTCAACATCCTCACCTCTCCTCTCTTCTGGGTGGACGGGCCCGTCTCCTGCCCTCTCGCGCACACACACCACTTAAAACTACAGACTCAGGTGACCTCGCGGTGACGCTCCGTTCTAAATAAGCGCTTCGCTGCACTTTACCTCCAGATTGTATTTCTTAGATAACAAGCAGACCAGGCACGAGTGTCTGGGCACGACCAGCAGTGATCCGAGGGCTTCACGACGCACAGGCCCATCCAACCTCACAGCCACTCCTACTCGTCAGACCCAGTTGAGAGACAGGGAGCTTGAGTCCAGAGAGCTCAGGCAACCTGCCTGGCACGAAACAGCTCATTAGCGACAAAGATGGTTTGAGCCCAGGTGCTCTCCGACTCCAGAGCCTTCCCGAGTATCCTGGATTCTGTGCCGTCTGCCCCAGACTCCCTCTGGCAGCTGGCAGGTGCAAAGACCTCTGCATTCTGTTCCCTGCCTAGCATAGTTTCAAACACACACATTATCCACAGAGTCTACACAACCAAGCACCACACTTTATTTTTTTAGCAGTGGGGTCTTGCTATGTTGCCCAGGCTGGTCTTGAACGCCTGGCCTGGAGTAGTCCTCCCACCTTGGCCTCTCAAGCCGCTGGGACTGCAGGCGCGGCTTTATCGTTTTTGTTTGGTTTTCATCACCAGCACCATAGGGGCAGCACGGCTCAGGTATCAGCGCATGGCCACCGAAGTCAGAAGACCGGACGTGAGTCTCAGTTTACCTTCTGCTGGCGTGTGACCTTGGGTGGCTTGCTTAACCTCACTATGCCTGTTTCCTCAACTATAAAATGGGGATAACACTAGAATCCACCACATACACAGGGCTGTGCATGACCCAATTTAACCCGCGCACAATGCCAGGTCCATTGGAAATGCTCAACAACTATGAAGGTCAAGTCCTCCTAATTTAAGCTCTAGGGAAAATGATCTTGCTCTCTGGGGTCTTTCACTGCTCTCAGAACATTGGCCAGAAAACTGCAAACCCTCCTGCTTCACAGGACATCGCCACGAGGCAGGGACACAGCTCCTGTGCCGGCCTGTCATCCGCCCCGTGGTACCTCGACACACATCGGGATTCCATGCATCCTGCTCTGCTTTTCCATGTCGAGCAAGTTGGGTGGGTCCTTCCTCGAGATCACCCTAACGAGGCGTGCACAGCCCCAGCCCCAGCCTCAGCCCCGCACTGGGCACTGACTTTCTCCGCAGGGACCTCGGGGGCAGCACCGCACACTGCGGGTGACACAGGCAACGCTCGCTCTGCTCTGCTCGCTGCCTGCTGCATCCTGAAAGCCTGCTCCATCTGCTCCCGAGCCCAGGCCCTCCTCTCAGGCTGAGCTGTGAAGGCACTCATGAATTTCCTGCCGGCGTGCAGACATCACACGGGCTGACAACGGCAGGTTCTTCGCACATCACCCTCGCGAGGAGCTGCCTGGCAGCTGCTCTCAGGAGAGGCCCCTGGAGGGCAGCCAGAGGCCGAGAGGCTCGCACTGCTGACGGGGCCAGCAGGCGAGGAGGCCACAGCCTCGCAGACCCACCCACACCGCCACCTCCCTCACATTCCCACAGGGAGGGCCAGGCTGGTGATCACGGAGGAGGTCGCAGCCTCCACCCCCTTCGCACTCCCACAGGGAGGGCCAGGCTGACGACTGAGTGAACCAGTGAGGAGGCCACAGCCTCCACCCCTGGCAGTCCACAGTGAGGGCCAGGCTCGCCCAACTCTGCTCATCAGCTGCGACCCAATGGTGCAGTCACTGTGACATTTATAGGGACTAATACAACCTTCTTATGCTTTAAATGACTGAACTTGACTTTGACTCAGACTCCATTTTCTTTTAAAAACTGGTCTCCCGGCCAGCCTTAGTGGCTCAGCCTGTAATTCCAGCACTTTGGGAGGTCAAGGCGAGTGGAATGCCTGAGCCCGCAGGTTCAAGACCAACCCAGGCAACTTTGCAAGACCTCGTCTCTACAATAAATAAAAAATAGCCAGGCGTGGCAGTGCGCACCTGTAGTTCCGGCTACTTGGAAGGCTGAGGTGGAAGGATCGCCGGAGCCCAGCAAGTCGACGCTGGGGTGGCTGTGAGCATGCCACTGCACTCTAGTCAGGGCGACAGAGTGAGACTCCAACTCAAAAAAATATAAATAAAAACTGGGAAGCTCTAGAACTGAGGGCAGTTAAATTAAACGAAGAGTGGGTTGGCTGGGAACACTTCAAAGCATCACCTCCCAAGTAAAACAAAGGGCATCCTTAGTTTTACCCTCTCTTCCTGTGAGAAAGCAATTTCAATTGGCACTGCCCACGGTGGCTCCTCTATTCCCCTGCTTATTGATACTTTAGAAACTCACTCTCAGTATTAACAGCCAGCTTGTGGATCTAAACAATTACAAAGTATAAGCATTATACAGTATTCCTGATAACGCAATTCATTTAGAGAGTGTTAATTTTGAGAACTCAAGCAGCGTCTAGCACAGAGGCCTGTCAAATCCACCCCCAGCCTGTGTGTGCAGAGAAAGCCGTGCCCACCTGTGCAGGTATGTATTGCATCGGCAGCGCCAAATACCTGAGGCGTCAACCACATGGTCCACATGCAGAAAACACTCACCGTCTGGCCCTTTACAGAAGAAGCTCGCCCAATCCATCTAGAATAACTATGCACATGCAAGCGCCTCCTTTTGACAGAAGGCTGCGGCAGCCACACAATCTGCAAACGATGTTAATACTGCTGTGGCCTGAATGCTTCTGTCCTCCCCAAAACCCACGTGTGGGACGCTTAACCCAGCAGTGTGGGGAGGCGGGGCCTAATGGGAGGCGTTACGGTCACGAAGGCTCCACTCTCAGGCGTGGATCAGCCCCCTCTGAAGCGGGCTTGCAGGAGCGGGTTCTCCCTCACTGCTTCTGCCACGGGAGACACGCTGCGTCTAAGGCGTCATCTTGAAGGCAAGACCCAGCCCTCACCAGACACCAAGAACTATGGCCTTGCCCTTCCTGGCCACAGGGCTGTGAGGGACAAACTTCTATTCCATATGAACTACCAGTCTTAGGTGCTCTATAGTAGCAGCACACGACAGACTCAAAAACGCCTAGACAAACGTGAAAATCCAGGTTATCTGCCTGTCTTACAGACTTATGCTTTGCTTACGAGCTAGCTGCATAATGGCCTGCTGTCTCCACTTCAGTTACCTGCAAACCTTTCCAGCCAAGGCAATGCCAGTGACTTAGATGCCTCCTAGTTGGCAATGGAATCCCTGAAGCTACATGAAATTGATGGCCAAATTCTACATGTAAATGCATCTGAAAGTCAAGCAAAGGAGTATTCCACGAGTCAGTCTGATCAAAGTAGGAAGTTCGGACTCTGACACGCCATGGCAAAAAAGGCAAGAAACCAGTCCCAGCGTTAGACATTCTCGCCACATGTGACGCAAGCTAACAGAGACAAGGTGTGAGACCTCAGGGCGGGCCACAACCACTGAATAAGCCATGGTATGGGGCACCTGGCAACATGTGCTCTATCACAGAGAAACAAAGCTCCAGTTTCTGAAGCTTCCCTGGGGCTGACATTCATCGCCAATATTGCATATTGTTTTATAATATTATGAACTTAATTTTTAAAACTTTCTAAGAATTATTAAAATATATTTTAAAAACTCCAAGTGTTGTTCCAGTTATAGTCAGTGTGTTCAATACACAACTTCAAAATTCTTTTTCAGTTTTATTACTTAATGCCTAAGTCCAAAGGAGACCTAGCTCACCATCTCGTCATGCTAAGCATTCCTGCTTGAGCACACTGGAGATTTCAGAAAGTCTGGATTGCAGCAGCACAGAAGCCAGAAGCCCCCCTGCAGGAAGTACCATCTCCACAACCTTCTTGTGACAGAGCCGGGCAAGGGGATAAGACCTGACTGGCTATGAGGTCACAACACTAACTACAGGGATGCCCCGCAGGCCTAGGAGGAAGCATGCCCCAGGGGCAGGGGACGGACTGACTGACACTACCCGACGCTGACTTAACAGACGCCCCACATGCCCCAGGGACAGAGGTTGGGACCAACCGGCAGCGAGACCCCATAGGCCCCGCAGGCCTGGGAGGAAGTGTGCGCCAGGGACGGGAGAGAGAAAAGCCACGGGCTCCCCATGACCTCCACTTTTGGAGCAGCGGCTGTGGGTGCTGCACTTGAAGTCCATCCCATCACCTACCCGCAGATAATGTGGAACTCTGGTCCCACGGCTGTTCCAATGAGCCGCCTTGAGTAAAATCCGCAGTTAGCCGCAAAGCAGAGGGATGTGCAAGCGAAATTACCTGAAAAGGCCTCTGTGCTGCTCAGCGGCTTCCAGCAGACGCAGTTTATGACCCCAGTGCTGTCATCCACTGCAAGAGAAGCACAGAAACAGCAGGCATGGTGGGGGAACCGGCCCTGACCGTGCTCAGCCACGCTGGAAGACGGCACGACTCAGTGGCCTGGGCGGCCGATCTCCGGCCTCCACACAAGTCCATGCAGCACAGTCCCAAGGGGGAAGATCTGTATCATGCCCGCCTCAAGGGCTCGAGCGATTCTCGTCTAGCCCTCTTGATTACAGACGGTGGCTTCTGGAAGTGACGTGTGAGACTCAACACCTGTGCTCACACAAAACCAGCCCCCAGCCGGCTCGGTGGCTCAGCCTGTCATCCCGCGCCTTTGGGAGGCTGAGGTGAGTGGATTGCCTGA